AGTCCAGGTTTATCTGGGGGAGCATCAGGGTAAGAAGAGAGGCAGATCAAGTGATGCAGCCATCATGCCGAGTGTCTGCTGGATAACACCTGTGGTGGCAGCACTAATGTATGGGGTTGCTGTAGTGGTCAGGTCAAAGTTCACCATCATAGTGAGGTCAGCTGACTGGCTGAGATCCTGAATGACCAGGGGCCTCATGTGAAAAAAGAGGGAGAAATTTGGAAATTCATGGCACACAAAAAAAATGTAGATGTATAAAGTCAAACATGCAGACATGTCACCACACGTGTTCCCTTCATGAATCTGGACTTGGGTGAGAATTGGGGGCATCTGCCCCTAAATGAATGTGCAATTATTAATTGTTTGCTACTGCTGCAAATAATGATAGATCTTATTTAAAATCCACCTTTCAGGGCACACAAGGCCACCAGGTCACATGAATTGTGAACACACACTCCTTCCACTGGCATTGTCCCTGCTGAAGGACGCCAGTGGAGGAGGCCACAGCTGCCACCGTTTCGCAATTACACACACCTTTATGCTGCTATTTATGTACATGTGTGATTGTCTCCACTTTGTCAACCTTATTAATCATCAAGCCTGACCTGATTGGAGTTAATTTGATGATCTGACTCCATTTTCTCTGGTTGTGTAAATGGAAATTTAGACATATTTCATGCAAATAGGTGCACAGACTGATGCAGATTCACATCTACATGTGAATCTTTGTCGTTGCCTAAAAAATATTTACGTTGCCGTTGCACTTTTTCCCGACAGTTCAAAAGTTTGCGTACATTTTCTCGCCAACTCCTAACTTTACACACGCTGAGTCATGTGCAAATTTATACATGAAGCCCCGGGGTATTGCATCAACAGATTGTTTCCTTCAGTCATGGCACAGCCATATTGCCAGATGATGATGCCAGGATTCATCAGGCTCACAGGGAGGATGAGGCATCATTTTCACCCGTGGACCCTGGGCTGAGAACACTGAGTAAATGGAAATATGCTGAAAGACAATTTTCTCAGTGGTCTGACTTTCTGATCAACAGTAAAAAAAAAAAAAAAAAAAATTTAATTAAAAATTAATTTAAAAAAAATTAATTTAAAAAAATTCTTATGAGACTGCAGAAGCTTATTGAAACAATGCCAGGGCAAATGACTGCCATAATTATAGATAAAGGTAAGATTGTGTCATTATTTATCTGTACAAACCGTAGAACGGCAGCAGCATTCTACGGCCTGAATATCAAAACTGACTAAAGCAACGAGCTGCAGAAACGTCAATTTGAAGTCTTCAAACAACTTCCAAGTTGAGTTTATTAATTCAGTTAGTACCATGGAATCCAGACTGCTCAGGTATTCTTTGGAGAAAAAGTGCAAAGGATTCAATGGGATGTCTATTTTTAGACTAAACATAGTAAAAGGTTTTAAAATTGTAAATGGCCACTTGCCAGCTTCTTCAGCTTATTCTTTACCATATGGTTCTGAACATTTTTGTGCAAAATTTGAAACAGTATTGCTTATATTTCAGCTTGTCAGAAGATATGATAAGTGCAGAACATTTTGCATTCATAAACCAAGTGGTTTTGTGGGCTTTGTCTATTTCCTGGACTTTTTCTGTGAGATACAGTCACTTGCTTATGACAGAATGTTAGGACCAGACTAAGAGCTTTGTTTGATTGTTTGTTTTAGGGATGCACAATAAACAGGCCATAATATCTTTCATTTTGGGATATTGTTGATCGGCCAATACTTATATGTGAAGCCGATCTTATACACCACTGGGAAGGTCTGAAAATCAATCACTGTCATCCTCTGCTCTACTTTTAGAGAGGTTTGGTTGTTAGCCTGGTCCACCAGATCATGTCTGCATGTTTGCAGTTAACAACAATTACCCCACTGTTACCAACTCAACTATTTTCTATTTTCAGACAAAATATTGGAATTGGCCAAAATCAGAATCAGCAATTGGCCAGAGAACTGCAATCGGTGCTCCACTCATTTGTTTTCAATAGAAGAATAAAGTTGATTTTGTGAGAACTCTACACCAAACTGCATCAGAATGAGGAACAATACGTATTGTGTGAAGCTATAGTTGTTACCAGTTTACAAATGAGGAAATACTTCATCTTTTAGCATCAAATTATTATCAGCTGCAGAAAAACAAAAGCTGAGCTGGTCACGTCAAATGTTCTATCAAGACTTGTTTCACATTTTACTGAGATTTTTCTCATAATTTTGCAACTTTCTACCAGGAATATTGCATCTTTATTCTGCCAATAGCATTGTCTCTCTCTGTACTCATACTGGTACATGACCAGGCTGATTTGACCAGTTGTTTATCTAACCGACGTTAAGTTAGCTCAGATTATCTCTGAGTTTCTCTGTTGATCTAAAAAAGCTATATTCTTATCTACTGTGTTGTTCAGGCTCCTTGAAAAAGCCCCACGTGGATTAGATAGAAATGTGTATTATGTGAGACATGTCAGCGACCCAAGAAGTGTCATATGACACTGGTGAAAGAATTTCCTTTTCAGATCATGAGCTGTAAAACGTTTGACCACAGGCCTGTTTCAAAGCTGCTCTTTCAAATCCGTTGCATTTCACCTCGTCAGCTGAGGCTGGAGCCGTTTTATGGGGCCCTGTCAGAGGTGTTGTGTCACTTCTCTCTCCACATTTTTGATCTGATCAGCATATCAAAAAGAATGTTAGTCCTTCTTCATTTATCCCTGGATGAACAGAGTATTGCCTCAAGGCCTGCGATGCCTGGCAAAGATTGTAATTCCTGTGGAGTCGCCACATATACCCCTCGTTTTACAACCACGGGCTTTGATGTGGGAGCTTATGAAATGGATTAAATAGTAAATGTTCTGTTTTTTTAAATATAGATAAAAATTTAAAAGTCAGCTTTGTATTTGCTTCAACCCCCACAAGCTTTGGCAGCTTTTCTTCTCTGTAGATCGAAGTTCTTCTTCAACCTTAATGTAAGCAGGATAAAACTCCTTGAGGTCAGAGATATCTTTTACAAAACTGTCTTCATAACAACACAAGACCGAATTGATCCTGCTTTCTTAGTAAAATCGCTTGAATTCAGTCAGAACGAATGAAGAGTATATGTGAACATCAAGTTTTTAACACTTGCCACAGATTTCTGAAGACATCTTGATTGAGATGAGGCTGTTATAACACCTAAACATCCATTTCACCTCAGATCAGATCCGGCTGTGTGTGTAGAGTCGTCCTGAAATGTGAAGCTCCACCTCGTTTTCGAGACTTTTGCAGCTTGTAACAGATTTTTTTCTCCATTGTGTTGCCCTATATTTTGCTCCCCGTAGATCTAATCAGCGTCCTTGTTCTTGCTGAAAGTTGCATTACGCCAGCGTCGTGCAGCCCTAACTATGTTTCACAGTGGGGATGGTGCATAGGCCACAATGTTCAGTTTTGCTCTCATTTAGCGTGGAGGCACAGAGAGACGCAGGATACCAAACAACCCTAAACCACACTGCCAGCACGTCACCCGGCGTGGATCAAGCCTGGATCCTGGGAGCGCTGCGGCCCGGTGACCGCGGTTCTACAGCTGCACACCTGTGGGACCGGCAGAACAAGAGGAATGTGTTGTTGGATTTCCTCAGATTGAGGCATGATGTGTTGCTATGTCATGTTGTCAGATATGTTCTATTCAAGTGATTTATTGATTTTGTACATCAGCATTGAGATGTTGGTGAAGCTAATGAATTTAATTAAGAAAAAAACGAAACATTCGTGATTACATTTATTTCTAAGTAAGTATCAGTATGAGTAGTAGAGCCCTACTAATAAAAAATAATAATGACACAACAATAAAGTCATTAAATTATTAGAAAAAAGTCAAAAACATAGAAAAGCAGTATTCAGGCTCTACGCACCACAAATCTGGAACAACCGTCCAGAAAACTGCAAAACAGCCGAAACACTGAACTCCTTTAAATCCAGACTAGAAACCTACCTGTTCTGAGAGTTTTTGAAACATAATCAATGGAACATTAATCAGCAATCTGATGTGTAAAGATGGAACCTGACAATGTAATGTTTCAACTGTTGACTGTTCTATGATTTTGTGTTTTTATGACGTAAAGCAGTTTGAAATACCTCATTGCTGAAAGGTGCTATACAAATCAAATTTGATTGGATTTGATAATATCACCTGAACAAAGTCATAGTATCATGAGAATAAAGTCATACAATTATAAAAATAAATTTGTACGAAAATAAAGTTTGACTATAAAATCAATAGTATGACAATAATGTCATGATGACCAGAATAGTCAGAATATTACCATAATATGGCTGTAATATGACTTTATTCTTGTATGAGTTTATTTTTATTGTATTCTTACATTACTTTAATACTCTGTCGTACTTTGATAAAGTAAAATGTCTAAGTCAAATAAAATATGCACATTCTTCACCTCTTGAATGATTAATATCCTGAAGCCTCACTGAGGTAAAATAAGTTGTTTACATGTCAAAACACAAGTCATCATTTTTAAGGATTAAAGCCTTAATACCAAGGTTTAGTAGAAATTGAAAGACAAAGATGATCCTATTTCCTCCAAGAGAAATAAAATATTTCAACCATCACATAATGAAATGCAACTCTGCTACATTAATAGACAATGACAAAGACCTGGGAGTGAACTGCTAATCCTTCTGTGGAAGAACAAAAGCTCCAACGCCTGAGCATAAAGCAGGGTCTGGGGTTAGAGGGCTGTTCAGAGGATACTTCATACAGTATCAACTGTAACTATAAGAAATTTCCCAAACTGACCGAGACATGAACAAGAATCACAAGCGAGAAATATTAACGAATGCTAACTGAGATGCTACATTCAGTCACTTTGGTAGAGTTTTGAATCCAGTTTGATCAAGATTGACACGTGAGGGAGGAACGTTGACAGCAGAACTGCCAACTGATCAATGTTGAACAAATTCATTTTGATGTTTGTCATCTGTGTCAGGTTCATTCCAATGATGGTGAGCAGATAGAGTGGGGATTATTCAGAGTTCAGCGGCGATGAACAGGATGAACACGTCGACGTACCAGGAGGAGGAGCTGCTGGGTAACTCCACATGGACCTTCTCCTACCAACACCACAACAGCACCCCCACCCCACCACTGCTGCAGAACAAGGCCTCCACACTCAAACCCGCAGCCTGTGAGCAGGTCCACATTGCCGTGGAGGTTTGTATCGGGACCCGGGAATGTTGACCCGGTGGAACCCATGACGACCCCTGACCCGGCTCAGCGTTTCTTTACCCTTACTTCCTGTTGCTGTGTGTTCTCTCCTCAGGTGTTTCTGATCCTGGGGATCATCTCACTGCTGGAAAACATCATGGTCATCACAGCAATAGTGAAGAACAAGAACCTCCACTCACCCATGTACTTTTTTGTCTGCAGGTAAATATTTATTATTAGTGTTATTGAATTTTGCACCACAAGTTTTAAAAACAATAAAACCTTTTCTGTCCAGACGATGGATTCTCAGTGTGTGTCCAGAACAATTAAAAAGACAGATCAGAGAACTTCACTGTGGTCCAATCTTTTTCATCTTTCTTCTTCCTGCAGCATTTCAGTTTCTCTGTTGTGTTTTTGTTGGACATAAATGTTTTCTTTGTTGTCCTTTTGTCACTACACTTTTCTCTAATTGTTTTCACCAAGACCTTTCTAAATTGAATTCTGCTGCACTGCACTCTTCGGGACAAGTCGATAAGTTGTGTTTCTTGGATGTGGTGAAATCTTCAACTGAACTAAACTTTTATGCTGAACCTAGAAAACTCCTTGCATCAAAGGTTGTTGTTATGAAGATAAAAATTGGCACCTCACAGCCCAGTTTTGCATTTTAGCCTAGTTTTTAGATTAATTGATAACATTATGTAACGTCTCATGTATCACTTAGATTGGGGTTATTAATGTTATTATAGAGACTTTATGACAGGGTTTAACTACATTCTTCTAAATTCTAGCCTTGATCAGACTCACATTTCATGAGTTCTTTGCATTTACATTTGAAAAGCATAAATACAAAAATGTTCTAGGAAGTGAATCATTGTTCAGTGATCAGACATTTGACATGATTTCAACAAATTTTGGATTTTTGGATGTCGTACAGTGAGACATTTACTTGCATCACCTTCTGTGATTTCTGTATTATGTAAGACTTAAAGGTGACACAAACATGGAGCATGCTGGGGTTTGTTACAATGTAGCATTTACTGCCAACTTACTCAATTACAAATCCACAGTACAAAGCATCAGCAGCTTCTTTATGCAAAGCTGTCAAAATCAATGTTGGACTTGTCTTTGAGTTCATTTTTCTTTTTTCTATTTTTTTTTTTTTTTTTTTTTTTTTTTTTGGAAAAGTGTCTTTACTCTGTGCAGATTTACAAATAAAATTTAAAAAAATCTTCAGATGGTTGAAATGATTGCTGGAACACCAGAACAATGGGAAATCTCTTACAGAGTGTTTAGAAAGCATTTACGTTTGTAAGCAGGCAGTTTGACTCAGAACACATCATTCTCCTTTAGAACAGAGAATCTGGTCATCTTATGTCCACTGACATTCAAAGATGCTCAGATTCCTATTCACCTGGAGGCAGGACTTGCTTTGACAGTAACAATAATTCCCACATTGATACAGACAGATTAAAGGATCACTGATGTTCATTTTGAATGTTCTTTCTGTTTCGAGCGCGGCGTCAGGCAGTATCTGACTTTGTTCTCCAGGGTGGATCAAAATATGCAGTTGTTGTTTTCTTCAAAGAAAATATAACATGAAATGCATCGAGGATCTGAACCAACTAGTTTTAAAGACAACCTTGTGAATGCATTACTGCTGTTTCCGATTGCTACAAGGCTCTAAATAGGCACTTGATTTATTTCTTCTGTTTTTCCCCTGTATTTCAGATCACCAAGCAAATTTTAGTATCAGACAAATACAAGCTGAGTAAACACAACAATCAGGTTTCAAAGGATGATTTCACTTCTTAATGAGTTTTTCTCAGAATCCCAGGAACCAAACATGAAGAAGCAGCATTCAGCTTCTATGCACCACAAATCTGGAACAAACTTCCAGAACGTTGCAAAACTGCAGAAACACTTAGAGCCCTTTGAAACGTAATGTTTTAAGAATTTAATAATGGCACTTGACCAAATGTCAATTTAGTCTATGTTGCATGACTTTGTGTTTTTGTGTTTTTATGAGATAAAGCACTGTGAAATGATTTGTTGCTGAAATGTGCTACACAAATAAAATTTGATTGATTGATTTCAAAACCAACCTCTTCCCATATAAAAATGCACCTTGTTAAATCACAAATTAATTGCCTAACTAAACCAACTACGAAGTGATCTGTGTGACAACATAGGGCAGAAAAGCAGCACATTTTCCCCCAATATAACATTATTCCGATAAAATATTCTTTAACAATATAAAACTTGAAATTTAAACAGAGAGCTTCCATATTGCAATCTGAGATCCAAGTAAGTAAAAATCTTCTGACTTTCCTAATTGAAAATTGTTTTTTCCAACTTAGAACTTTTAAAATTAATTTTTTGTTAAAAAAATATATCAAGTCCTGTTGTATAACTGTTTTTAAATATTTGTTAAAATGGCAGCTCTTGAAATGTGAAGATTTTATTCTTGTATTTCTACAAAACCAACTTCAATCAGCTCCTTACTTAATAGGAGCAATGATTTAAAATATAACAAACTTTGGCTTCTAAATACTTCATAAAAAACTTCATCCTATTTGATGATAGATCTGAATATTATCACGTTATAAGTGATGCAATTTGTCCTGGAAAAGACGTAGAAAAATGGGTGGTTATATATAGTTTTTCTCACTCTGTCAGCTTAACATCAAAAATGTATTTGTGTCGCTTTGTTTTTGTGTTAATTGAATCGAAATACTCTGAACTGCACAGCAAAAGCACATGTTGAGGTGATAAAAGTTAAGCTTAGCATAACTAACCTACTCTACACTTTCTTTATATCTTTTTTTAATTAAAGTTTTTGTATCGACCTGTGAAGTGTTTCCCTTTGGACTTTGTTATCTTGCTACCATAGTGTTGACAATCAATGTCAAAACTTTGCAACCCCTTCTCAGATTCTTTGCTTGATTGCTTCCTTTCCGCGACAATATTCCTGACTCAATCAAAGCAGCAGCCGCTGCGGCTCACTGCACATGATGTCCAATCCGCTAACTCACTGAACGACTTGCCATTTATGTTTCACAAAGAAATTTCAAAAAGCATTACCTGTCTGTTAATTCTTTGAATACAACATGCAGCTGCTGTTGAGTTCTTTATGCAGGAGCATAAAGAAAAAAAGGTGCAGAAAATATTTGTGGGGACTGTCCCCTTCATGTTGGAATCAGTAGGGACATGTCCACACCAGTCCTTCAGGAAGTTATGCCTATGGTCTGTACATATTCTGCAAGAACAAATATGTCTGTTCTTTTACTCGGGGTGACAAGAACAAGTTTTTCTTTCTAACCAGGGCATTTCATGCTTCACAAGAGCTTAAGGAAAAAACTTCTAGGAAGTCTTTATAGGTCCCTCCCAGTCAAGCACAAATCCACCTAATTTTTCTTAGACACTACAAAAAAAGAAGCCGTGCCCAGAGCACAGAGAAGTCCCAAAACATTAAGGTGCAAGAACAGAATGATGTCAAAGAAATTTCTCTATGTTCCTAAAATGAGTATTGACCTTCAGTGAGAAGAGAAGAAAACTCTCCCAGCCACATGTCCACCAAAGAGTGGACAGTAAAAACTTTGTTGGATTCTGTTTGATTCCTTAAAAGTCAGCCGTAATTCTCCAGAACACCTGAATGAAATGGTTGAATTCCCTCATCATCATGTCAGTCAGCTCCACTAAGGTCTAGAAATGAGCCATGCGCTGAGATTCAGGTAGAGAAGGGGATGCTTCTATATGTAGGGTGGTAACTCTCAAGCACTGGACATGGGGACCCCCTAATTTAGCTCTAAAGGACATCACCTCAAATTCCTGCTAACATGCTGCTTTAAAGCAAAATGCATCTGTCAACAGTATTAATTTATCCCCCATAAATCACAGTTAGGCTTGGCATCGCTACATGAGCGACAAGAAAATGGTTCAACCCTGCAGAGAGGGAAGGTTGCACATTAAATCATTGATTGATTTAACTGGCTCTCCTGCTGAGAGGCAGGGATTTAAATGCATCACTGCTCAGCAGGAAGGTCTGCCAGCTTATCTGCTGGCTGCTGGTGAAAGCACGTCTGCAGAAATTTTAGGAATGTGTGTTTTTGGCCAAAAGTGTTATTAAGCGTGTCTGCTTGGTTGCAGCCTGGCTGTGGCAGACATGCTGGTGAGCGTGTCCAACGCATGGGAGACCATCATCATTTACCTGCTGAACAACAGGCAGCTGGTGGTGGAGGAGCACTTCATCAGACAGATGGACAACGTGTTTGACTCCATGATCTGCATCTCGGTTGTGGCGTCCATGTGCAGCCTGCTGGCCATCGCCGTGGACAGGTAGGACCATCTCAGTGTGCCACGCAAGTGTTTTTAACCCTTTGAGTTGCCCACGTCTGTAAAAAATTTTGATTTTGTTTCGACTCCTCATTTAACTTGTTCCATGAATTGAAATACAAACTATGTATGATGTCCTTCCCTCCACAGGTATGTCACCATCTTCTATGCTCTGAGGTACCACAACATCATGACAGTGAGGAGAGCAGGCTGCATCATTGGAGGGATCTGGACCTTCTGCACCGGCTGTGGGATCGTCTTCATCATCTACTCTGAGACTACCCCTGTCATCATCTGCCTGGTGTCCATGTTCTTTGCCATGCTGCTCATCATGGCCTCCCTCTACAGCCACATGTTCATGCTGGCCCGCTCGCATGTCAAGCGGATCGCCGCGCTGCCAGGCTACAACTCCATCCACCAGCGCACCAGCATGAAGGGCGCCATCACCCTCACCATCCTCCTGGGCATTTTCATCGTCTGCTGGGCCCCCTTCTTCCTGCACCTCATCCTAATGATCTCCTGCCCTCGCAACCTGTACTGCGTGTGCTTCATGTCCCACTTCAACATGTACCTCATCCTCATCATGTGCAACGCCGTGATTGACCCGCTGATCTACGCCTTCAGGAGTCAGGAGATGAGGAAGACGTTCAAGGAGATAATCTGTTGCTACAGCTTAAGAAACGCCTGCAGCAACCTTTGCTCCCTAACCGGTAAGTTCTGAAAAGAAAAAATGGAGGGAAAGAACACACACACACATACACACACAAAAAAACGAAGTTGAATGAATAAACTTGAACTGAGACTGATTCCGAAAATTCAACGTCCAGCACATAGAGACTGTGTTTTGTTTTGTTTTGTTTTGTTTTTTGCCACCGGCGTATTACGGTTTTTAGTTGGGTGTTTGTTTTTCCGCCAACTGTTAAAAAGGACGAGCCAGGATGGAGCCACAAACAGTGAAGTGTTTCCTAATGCACTAATGCACTGCATCCAAAACACACACAAAGAGGCTGATTTATTCAGTACATTATCCAAACGCTCTACCAGCCCCATCCGAAATCATGAGTCATTTAAAAATGCGTCACAGAAATCCAACCTTCTTTCATTCTCCCCTGACATGTTTAGCTTTTTTTTTGGTTCTCCTCTTCTAATCAATGAGATTACTATCCTACCCTACAAGACTGTGTCCGACAAGGCAGCCTGACAGATCTATTTCACTTCTGTCAAGTGAGCCATTCAGTCTGAAAGAGAGCTTAGATATTCACAGTTAATTGCCGATGATGGTAACCCCGGGCGGACAGTGTTGTTTCCTTGGTAATTAGGACTAACCCGTGGTGGAACGGCCCGGACAATGAAGCCGGCAACTCTGACAGGATCCTGGGAGTTCTCACTGCTGTTACAATAGGAGGCCAAAACTTTTAGAAATGTAATTCAGCACTTTAGGGGATAAAACATGAAGTCGCTGTAATGCAATGTTGGGAGGGGAGTGGTTACAATATGCTTGAATCAACAGCATTTTCTTTGCTGTAATGGTATTTAAATGTAAAAAAATGCAAACACAGTAGTGGGGCAGAGATGAACAGAAGCAAGTCATCAGCGTATAATGACAGTATGTGAAATCCTTCAGCTGACTGATTCTTCACTGGTCGTATAGAAGAACTATTTCAGACATCAAAGTATATAACTAAGTACACTGTAAAGGAATCCAAGGAGTGACATCAAGTACAATAAAAAGAAAAGTTGAAGGATTTTGATTGTCATACCTAGAAAAGATTATATCTAAGCAACAGTTTAAGCAGCCAATGGTATTTATAGATATGAAATGTAGTTGACTGTTCAGATGTCAGCAATATATAGTTGAAAACTGTCCATATCTCTGCGCCGACACTAAGCTCCGTGAAAGCCAAATAATTCGTGCTTCTTTCATTTTCTCATATGTATGTCATCTATGTGCATCATGAGCTCATTAAGAGTTCTTTAGCCAAATTATTTCCACATGTGAAATTCATCAGAATCAAGGTGCCACTGCGTCTTGGTCAGGATGTTTGTCTGCTCTTCAGTGCCAGTCCACACCTCCACTGACAGGGCTATAGGCTTGTAATAAACGCAAATAATGAAATGTGTTGTCTCTGTCAGAGAAGCGGTGCTGAGCTTTGCGGAGGAGAAATGCTTTCTGCTGTCGCTGCAGTAACCCCAGAGCTCAGCTGCTGCCTCTGTATGATTTATGAAGGCAGTTTTTCCCTCATTATTTACAAAAGACAAACACTGAATGCATCTTCTGCTGAAGAGAAGAACAGAGAAGTGCTAATTAAAACAAGCCTTACAATATGAATGATGAAAAAAAAGAATACAGGAACACAATGTGCACATTTTAAAAACATTACTAACTCACTTTCTAAAGATTTAGCCTTTCTACAAATGTTTGTAAGGAAAAACTTCATCTTTAACCATGCTTTAATTAATGTGGCTAAACAGAAAATGTATCGTGAGCAGATGGATTACATAAATAACATAAATTAATGTCATTATAATAAAACAATCTTGAGATTTTTCATTTAAAATATTTCAAATAAATGGCCTGGTGTAAAACTTTTGCACAGAAACTTGTGATCTGAGCAACTAAAGATACAGAAACAATATACACATGTATACATTTTATTCATAAGCCAATGAATAAAATGTATTCCCATTTAGAAAGGTTGGGTAATTAATAGTTAAATTAATCAGACGGTGAATACAACAAAAGTTTGAGAATAAAAGATTTCTGACTTGACTTGGACTCCTGATCTGAAACTTGTCTTTTTCACATGTATTAAGATTTAATAAACACTGTCATGACAGGCTACAGTGTTATAGACTGACGGTTCGCTAACTGTCAAAGAATGCACTTGATCGTTATCAAGTGATGATTGTGAGTCACACAGAATAAAAATAATTCAAAACTAAAACATAAAAGTATATTTTCTCAGTGGAAAGGAGGCGATCATGCTGTACAGTTCAGTTGTAAATGTTAAAAGTGAGCTGAGTCACTGTTTGAAGACCAAATACATAATCCCAGTTTTTGAATAAATTTAAACTCGTTTTGGCAGGAAAAAAAAAACAAAAAAACATTTTTGCATTCTGGATTCTTACCAACCTACATTTCATTGCTTCACTGGAGCCCATAGAATTCTGCAGCCATAAGGGATGAAACGGTGTGTGCACGTCATGGTGGATTGGACGAAGGGAAAGGATGATTTGAACTAGTGATTTTTGCTGCTCAGTTTTCCAGAGCTTTCAGAATGTAGAAGTCTTTGTGTGGAGACAGGAAGAGTGATGTTGCATTAAGAGCATTGTTACTGTCTTGCACACAAGAAGAGTTCTGCACTGATTACCATGCAGTGGGGACAGAGAGCCTTCTGTTCGGCTTTTTTCAGCATGTTGAAGGTAAAAACCATCCAAGTAAATAGCGACTGCCTCCTTTTAGAGGTCTGACAAAGACTTGCTGATGAAAGCGCTGCCTCCACTATAGGTGGAAAAGCATTATGATATCCGGTGCTGTGGAAGACATACGTGACTAATATGTGGATGATCAGCAAGGGCTCAAAGTGAATGAGCAACACCAAAAAAAAGGTATAAAAAATATGATGATAAAGCAGCAGGATGGGGTGACAGACACTCCTCTGACTAATGGTCCTCACGCTCAAATCACCTGTTAAAAGCAGACATGGCAACAAAAACACGCACAACAGGAATCTACTCTTTCATTTATGCTTTCCAAGATAATTACAAAACACTGCTTCACTCCTGGGGGTAGCACGTGTATCCTGCTCTGTCACATATTGCCTGACCTTTAGAGGATCTATTTATTTTCTGCTCCGTGTAAACCACAAAAGTGTTTTTTTTTGTATTGCTATAGAAACATCATGTTTCCAGATATTGTTTTGTCCAGTTTTGTCCAAGTATTCAACAAACATTCATGATTTTTCAGAACTTCCTAAATGCCAGCTTTAAAAATTACATTTTTTCTTTATAGAAAAATAAAGGTTCTTTATTATTTTTTTTTACCTGCTTGTCCTGTACATGCAAATAAGTAAGAGTGTCTCCTGGTGATAATAGTTGAGGGTGGGGAAGGCTGAATCTCAAAAATCAGCATGAACAATGATTCTGAGCAACTTTAATTTTCAACACCAAAGTAGAAGGAGTGGCTGGGCATCAACTACCAATTCACCAAATTTGATTTTTTTTAAAAATCATTTGTAATGGAAACTGAGCAACTGTTGAATGATCCATAGATTATAATTCATAGATCGAACAATTCATACCACGTAAACATGTTGTCTATTTGATCAACTTCTTGGACACAAACAAAAAGCAAAACTCACCGTCTACCTTTTTTTCATTTTATGCCGTTTGTATTGACAAATCCAGAGTTGCACAAGTATAAAGTAATGACAGCAGCCATCATCACGCTGCTGTCATCATACATGACTGCTGTCATACTGAATCAGCGCCATGGTTACCAACCAGCCAGCCTCTTAAAATCTGCCTCTGCGTGTGAAAGCGCAGCACCGTTTCCTCAGACAAGAGCGCAGAGTTTTCCGTCCTGCTCCGTTCCGTCTCTGTGCTCCACATTGATCCCCCTGTGTGCTGAGCTGCTGCCATGTAATAACATGAATGTACAAATAGCTCCACAGCGCTCTCTGTGATTGTGTGCTGGTGCCTACCTCTTTACTGAGAGGCTTGATTCTTCTTTATCAGTAAAAATGCAGCGACCTGCTGAACCTGAATGTTATTAAGCATTGCTATGTAAGAGACGTTATTATCTGTGTAATATATTATTTATTGTAGAAGAAGAAAAAAGAAAGAAAAAGAGTCGGTCGCTGTATATCTCCCCTGAAATAATGTTTGTTCCCAAGGACATTGAGATAAGAAAAAAAAAAAAACATGGTGAAAAGATTAACATGGGTTACCCGTCTTGTGTTGTAATAGTGTTCTGATTTATTGCAAGTCTTTTGCACTGCAGAGAATATTAATGGCTGTAGATGCATACAAGTGCACAGACTTGTCACAATATTTACTTCGATGACTTTGCGTTTTTGGGCTCAAACCCCTTTGTGCTGCTAGTGTATGCAACATTCTTCAAAACCTACACTGAGTTTCTGTTGCCCACAGAAGCAGCAGTCTGTGTTTTTGCTTCACCAGACTGATGCTTTCCTGATCGGACACTTAAGCTTTTCTCCATGTGCAGTGAGACCGTTCACACATTTCACATCATCAAATGGTGATATGAACAAACGTAAACGTTGGCTTCTGTTGGCAATGTGGCTTACAATGGATTCTTGTCTTTGTGTATTTATGTCTTAATAAAAAAGATAATAAATCTGAGTGTTATTCTGTTTTATTAATTATATATATATATAATTATTTTTACTCCATTTTAAATGGTTGGGCACTCTTTTTTAACTGTTCTTCATGACCTAAGAGTGCAAAAAGTATTCTGAGATTTTCTTGACAGATGTTCTTACTGCGGCTAATGGCCTAATTAAAGCACAGTGAGGATGGAGCCTTTGCAGGCTACAAGCTGCCCCTTGTTATTCATGCTGCAGTCTTTTAAGTTTCTCCTGAAAACTAAGTTTTTAAATCCAAGTTTGAGCTCCATCAGACCGGTTTGATTGATTTATACTACAGCTTTTTTTTTTTTTTATCTTACTGTTCTTGTTGATTTTATGGACATTTTATTTGGTGATTTTGTGTTTTGGAACTTTGTCGATTTTTACTCTTTGTGATGCACTTTGGTCAAAGTGATTGTTTTTAAATGTGCTACATAAATAAACTACAGAAAAATTTGCTCCAATATTGTTATTTCAAGGTTTTCTGTTTCATTAAATTCTCTCTTTATGATGGAAAATTTAAATCCCAGAGGGAAATGTGATCCTGTAACTCTTACAGTTCTCTTCAGAGCAGGAAGAATCTCCTTTAGCAGTCTGAGTTACAGCAGGTTGATGAGTCTGAGTTACAGCAGGTTGATGAGTCTGAGTTACAGCAGGTTGATGAGTCTGAGTTACAGCAGGTTGATGAGTCTGAGTTACAGCAGGTTGATGAGTCTGAGTTACAGCAGGTTGATGCGGTGTGCATAAGATGGACATGACACTTTCATAAACATGACATAACACCTGTTATGAACATGAAGGAGTCTTCATGAATGTTCCCGACTGTTGTGATGAAGTGTCAGTCGGTATATAAGGACAATTATAATGCAAAGGTGACAACTTCAATTTACCTTTGATGCAAGTTTTAATGCGACTTTGCTTTAAAAGTGTCATTATTTATCAATGATGCAAAATTGACACTTATAACGCACTTTGAATCAACTTTGCATTAAAGTGTCATTATTTGCAGAATGACACTTCATGACGACAGTCATAAACATTCATGAAATCTACTTCATGATCATGTCAGGTGTTATGTCACGTGTATGCACACTGCGTTAAATAAAGGGTTACTGAAGTTTCTGATCAAAGACTTAATAAAAATCTTATTGCATACTTTATTTAATAAGGGAATAAAAAGATTTTAACATTCATCAAAAATTATTTATTTACATCCCAAAAAGTCACAAGGACTTCATTTTTGTTAGTTTCAGTGATGCTTAATCTAATGAGTAATATAATAATAGTAATAAATAAAACAAAAAAACTCAATGCAAAACTAATAATCTGAAAAGCACTGGAACCAAAACAGTAGATCTGATGCACTTTACAATAAGCAGAAAAACAATAAACTTAGCCAGTAGCAGATTATATTTATTATCCTGACTGCAGCACCACATGGAAAACCTCAACAAACTTTTCAGTTTGTAGCCAGAATGTCACTCAACTTCTCTTTCTGCTCCATTCATTGGATCTCATCCAGATGTTCAGATCTGGATGAGATGTGCAGAAAGCAGGCTTCTGCTTGCTGCACATCTCTCCCTTCACTGACAACCAGAGGGGACAGCCTGGTCTGGTACATGTGCAGTCCAGCAATAGTTATGTGAATGATTTAATATGCAAAGGGGTAAACTGGGAAAAATCAGAAGGCATAAAAGATGGCATCTTCAGTGAAATTTGTTAGTTCAGCCTGTCAGTCAGACAGTGGGTAAATGACGCTCTTTCCCCTGTGGAGTGGGCGCCTTCATGGATTTATTGCTTTCAGCATCAGACAGTGTCTGCACAGTGCTGCAGGCTCCTTCAGTCAGCTGATCTCTCAGTCTTCACATACTGCTGACAGATCACTGATCTCTGGAGGAATAATGCTCTCTGCTCTAAGCAGGCTAGCTCTTTGCTAATCAGGTCATCTATATACCCGTCTCTGCTCTGAAATTACTTCCAAATAGTCATTTCTTCTGGGTCTCTTTTTATCAGTGGATTTGCATGACAGATGTATATTGGGGGCAAATGTAAAACTTTAGCATATTGACAGCTTTTTCAGTTATAACAATGTAGCAAGAATTGATCATTTCCTATAGATATTGATCAGTCTATTTAATCAGATGTTATTCATTTAAAATCAAGCTGAATAATCAGTTCAGCGTAATAAGATTTTATTGACAATCAGTTATTGTATGTCAGATCTACAATAATTAATTAAGCAAAGGAACAAAAACAAAGATAAATCTCACAAACAATTGAAGACTCTTTGAAGAGAAATGTCAGACGGAATAAGCACTGAAAAGACAAATAAATAAGCTGAATAAAGAGATTTTGGTTTCTACATTTAAAGTCTAAACCAGACAGATCAATAAAATTAACTCATTGATCTGTCTGATTATTACACCAGAACACCAGATTATAACCCAAGATTTAAAATTCTGACTAATCGCAAGCTACATGTGGGATGTTGTAAGTAATTTCTGAATGTTTAAACTTTGACTTAGAAATAGAAATAAGATTACAAAATAGTAAACTAACAATCCTTTGATTATAAAACTTCAAGATAATATTTATGGGATAAGAGGTTGATATGGGCGAATTCTGTGGCAGGAAACTTTTATACACAACTTGTCTTTTAGACGTTTGTTAAAAGTGTCAGAATGTCGTATGTGACAGATGATCTTCTATTGCCATCTGCAGAAATACACCACTAGGTCAGAAACTTCCAATCAGAGCGAGGAAGAGAGTCTTAGCTCCGTCAATCAGGCTCATGTATGCACTGTTCACTCCATTTCTCCTTGCTTTCTGCCTCATTGAAGAGCCTGTCCTGAATGCTCAACCTATATAGCATGACCAGTAATAAGTTGTTCTCCACCCTCAATCTTCAGCAGTGCATATACAAGCATGATTTACAGTACTGAAACCCTCCTCCTGGCCCTGATTGGTTGCTTCTGACCTGAAACCAGCAGTGCATTTCTGCAGATAGCAGGAGGGTCATTGGGTGGAGGTGGATTTCTTTCACAGATGATCTGTCTCCTGTTGCACTATCAGCGCCTGGAGACATTTCGAGAAAGAACATTTTGATATAAGTTAGCTGTTTCTGCTGCTGCTTTAAAGAGTAAGATGCCAACAATGGAATTGGTTTCAGGTCATAGGGATCCCCAGTGAGACCAGCAGGACAACAAATGAAAAGTTCAAACACGTGGTTTGTATGCTCAAAGTCCATTGACCAAATGTCCAAGTGCAATGCAAACAAGAGTGATGTAGGTTCATACCCTCTGCTAGCCTCAGCTGCTTGGTGACACATGTCACAGGAACCACACTGTGTCCTAATGCCTGCCAATAATGACTCAAAGACAAACATGATAATTAGCACAACAGGGAATAAAGCGCTTTTGGGGGAACAGGTTTAAGGTTGCGCAGTCATCAAAATGCAGTGCAACCTATTTTTCTTCTGTGGGTGAAAAACATTTTGAAGCTTAAAACTTTAGATGCATTTCTGTCACAAGCACAATTTCCAATCTGAGCAAAACAGCATCTTTCTGAAAGTGTGCCGCAGCTCAGCCATGCGAAAAGCATAGATGGCCGGGTCTATTAGGGCGTGGCTCATCATCAGCACCACATGTAGCTCAAACAAGGACCGGTAGCATTCACAGTACGGATTCATAGGGCAAACTGTGATGATGACCAGGTGGACAAAAAACGGCGCCCAACACACCACAAATGCCCCGAACAGGATGGTGAGAGTGAGCGCGCCTCTCATGTTGCTGCCCCACCTCCGCTGATGCTGAGACTTGTCCCTGCCGCCACTGGGTAGCGCTTTGATGTTCTTGGCATGAATGCGGGCCATCATGAACATGTAGATGTAGAGGAAGCAGATGGCTGCTAGGGAGACGACAAAGAAGATGATGAAGCAGATCATGATGAACTTAAAGTTGAAGAACTTCACCATTAGCACAGCCAGAACTGCACATGATGTCCAGATGAGCCCCAAGATGGCTGCCGTTCGCTGCATGGTCATGATGTTGTGGTAACGTAGCGCGTGGAAGATGGTGATGTAACTGTAGGATAAAAACAACAAAATTGAGTCTTGATTGAAGGGTCTTTGGATTTTATAATTAGGGTTTGTGTTAGGTTTACCACAATTCAAATGTGTGAAAGTTTAGAAAGACAAAAGAAAGACAAATTTGTAATCATATGCTAATATTCTTACATTTGAAGCTCCCTGTAGGTGGTTAATGGAGCTTTGAAAAGAACCTTGGTGGTTTGTCAAACTTTTAGTTGAGTCAAAGCTTGTCAAAGCAAAAGTAATCGGTCTCGGAAACCACATGTTGTTCAGATAATGGCTCTCCTTAGTCAGCAAAGGTTACTTTGTTGTTTCAGTTTAAACAAAAATGAGCAAATAAAGAACATCTTTATCTTTTCAATTTGGCAATCCACTCTCTTTTATATTAGAATTTGCAAAGATCAAACTCATCCATCCGTCCAAGTCTGTACCTGCTAACCCTCACAGGGTTGCAATGGTGGGTGGGGAGGCGACCACAGGGTGAGAGGCGGGGTGCATGCAAAGATCAAATGTCTAATTGAAAACACAATTTAGACTTAAAATTGTTTTTCAGGATCTTATGATCTTATGTTTTTCAGGATCAACACGGTCTCAGCTCGTTGTGTGGAACAGATGAATGAATGAGAGTCACACCAGTCCCAATATAACTGAGCTACAACCAGAGTTCATTAGATCTATATCTCCTCTTCTTTTGATAGATGTGTGCTGGAAAGTTAAATTCAACCGCAATGGTCAACTGTTTCTGTAAGGCAACATGTTTCTCCACAATACCATCTCTTTGCCTCAGGGTAACAGTTGAGGTTCAACAAGTTTCCTTTATTTGATTATCAGGTAAGCCTTGTTCAACTATCAAACAATAAGCGTTATGTACTTATAGTAATCAAAATGCTTTTTAGGTGGAAAAGGGCAAATTAATTATGTTTCCCTGACTCATTTTGAGTATTGAAATGATAATGAGAGATTTTTGTTGTTTTTTTGAGAAAATCCACAACAAAAAGGGTTGAAATGTGGCTTCTTGAATGTCATGTCACAATTTATTCATCATTATCTCTCCTGTTTTATAAAATGTTATATTTTTCAAAGGAATGCTTTGTTGAGGAGTGATAAGCCAAAATGAGAGGGCAAAGAACATTGCATCATTGTGGCTGGATATCAGTCACTATGCCAATGGCCAAACCTATAGCACTGTAGGCATCTGTACTAACACTGCACTAAGAAATATCACACCTTTTAAAATGGGATTATATCAGCTAGAAATGTGACAAAAATGATTGTCAGGAGTATCCGTTGCTGACTTCTGTCTTCATCAAAAGGTGTCTGATAAAATGACAAGTTTGATTTGCATCCTTGTTGGTTTTGTGCAGCTGACCGCTCAGCATCCAATGACCATTTTCACAGTGAAATTAAAGCAATTAAAGCAATATTAGGTGGCCAGTTGTGAGTTTTTTGTCAAGATCTGCAAGAGTTAATGCTCACATGGGTTGTTTTAACATCATGGCAAAAATCATGGCTGTTTTTTTAAGAGCACGGCGTTATGAGTTGGGTGTTAGGGTCAATACAGCATTACGGTCAATACATGGTGACAGTAAAAAAGCACATTATATTAGCCAAAGACGCATGAGAGACCATTACCAGTTCTTCATGAAGGACTTGCACAGTGCAATTGAATTAGGTAACATAGTTGCTTTGTGTCCTTGCCCATTGTGCAGGACATACAGTTCACACAATGTTGGAGCCAATAGCTAAGAGAAGTCCAAATTCTGTTTATTGCTTTAAGATGGCTACGTTTTTTCCTTTGTTTTTTTTTTGTTTTTTTTGCATCCCTCACTCATCACTCACTTTTTTTGAGCATCCTTAGTCATCCATCAGCAGATCTAGATACATACCGGTCCACAGCAATGGCTAGGAAACTGGATATGGAGCCTACAAACGACATGCAGAGCAGGGAGTCCATCACATCGTCTAGGTCGGTCTCAGGAGGACCCCTCCTCTCCAGGTGTCCCGCATCAGCGAGGACTATCATCAGGTTTTCCCAGGTTTTTGTCACACTAGCGATGGTGTTGAATGCAGCCAAGCTGCACATGAAGCAGTACATGGGCGAGTGGAGGTTCCTGCTGCGCATCACCGCCACCACGACCAGCAGGTTCTCAGCCAGGCTGACGATTCCAACAGTGAAGAAGACGGGAAATGGGACCTTGACCTCGGGGCAGCCTGTCTGGTTCATGGCAGCGTCCTGTCTGATTTCAATGCAGATTAAACAAGTTCCTAAAAACAGGTGGAAGCAAATAGAAATATTACACAAGTTTAAATGATCGAATAGAATGATAATAATGTTGAGCTTTGATGAGAACTATTGGGAGCTATTAAACTATTGGGGGCTATGCCAACTGCATCTTTAAAGTAACATCCTATTTTTCCAATATTATAAACTTGATTAAGTTCCTGGCTTAATTTTCCTTAACTTAAGTTCCTTAACTTAATTTTAATGTTTCGGTCCATGTGAATTTCATAATTATAAAGTGCTACAGAAAAAAGTCACGCAGACATTGAACTTCTAAATTGAAATATTATATAAATAAAAAAATACATACTAAAAAATGAAGCTTTGGTGATAAGCTTTCAGCTTTCAGTTTATCTGTAAACCCTCCAGCAGGAGTTCTGCAACTCTTATCCACTGCCTTAATTTTAATAAAAGTTGAAAAGAGAGATCATATTTGTTTTATTTTAGCTTCCCTTCATTGGCTCCCAGTTAAATCGAGAAGAGAATTTAAGCTTGTCCTTTTCAGATACTGTATAAAGCCCCTAACAACCAGTTCCATCGTGCACCAGAGATCTGATTGGTCCATATGTTCCTAACTGAGCACTTTGCTCTCAGACTGCAGGGTTACTGCTGGTTCCTAGAGGTTCTAACAGCAGAAAGTGAGGCAGATCCTTTAGTTCTCAGTCTCCTCTGCTGTGGAACCAGCTTTTGAATCAGCCACCCTGCTTACTTTTAATGTAAGGATTAACACTTTCCATATATATTTACAGTATAGTTAGACTGGCTTAGTTTACCCTGACCTAGTCTCTCACTATTTTTTTCTTCTTTGAAGCAACTTCTTACTAGACAAAGAGGTCGCAACACATCAACCAGAGTTTTAAATTTCTTCTAAAAAACATAACCTGTGCTATAATGTCAGGACAGTTTGCACAAGGTAAATCGATGTGAGTGTGTCAGGGTTCCAAAGGTTGGCTGTCTTGGGTTTATATGGTAAAGACTACAAACATACAATCTGAGTTCAGTCTGATCTCACAGGCTGATTCAAGCTGAGTTTTAGTCATTTGTGAGCTCTTGCACATGCAAGTGTAATGTGTCTTTGCTTTTCAGTTAAGAGAACAATTAACTCTATTATGCCAAACTTGGGTGTGTGGAAATGGTGGAGAGAACTGCAATTCAAACTCCTAAACCTAAAATCTCAAACTGCTCATTAAAATCCAGTGCAAGATTTCACAACATTTCAAGATTAGCTTGAAATAAAAGCACAACACATATTTAAATCCAAAATGAAAATCTGTAGAAATGCTTTTGGTCACTTGGTCACTTGGTCACTCAAAAGCATTTTGAGTGACCAAGCTAAACTAATAGATGAGCTTGAGCAGGAGGAGGGTCTTAGCGCTGTATATCATGTTGATACAAGCGTTTCACCTGTGCTATTGGCGGATGGACAATTTACCATCACAGGAAAACTGTTAACCCCCTGTGATCGATAGCCATGCTAACTGGCTTGCACATCAATGGAAAGCTACACTCTGGAGGAAAAGCTGTAGCTCAGCAAGGTGATACAAGGGGCAGGACGTGACAAGCAACTATGTTAGCGTGATTGACAGTGCTAAAGCCCTCCTCCTGGCTCTGATTGGTTGTTTCTGACCAGTCGTTGTATTTCTGCAGACAGCAGGAGGAGCACAGGGAGTCAGAGGAGGTTGATTTGTTATCACATTTATATTCATACTGACCTGTTACATGACCTAGTAACAGTTTTAGCAGATATATTAAAAAACATTTTTTTAAATAAAAGTTACCTACTGCAGCTTTGAGAAAACAGGGCATTTAAACTCAGACGGAGAGGCTGACCCGGAACCCAGGTGTCTGGTAGCTGCTATGTTACTGAGCAAGTGTAAATTCCTCTGGTAATTACTAGAACGCCAATCACATTCAGGAAACTCACACCGTAGTAATCACTAACCAGCAGGTCTCTGCAGTTGTTCTGTAACAAATGCCTTTCTCTTCCGTGTACATCCTGTTTTTAAGTGGGAGGTGGAGTGGCGGGAGTAGGGGGGCTTTTGGCACTGCTCAAGTTTTATCTGCAGCCACATCTGCCTCTGCTTTCCTGTTTACATAAGGGGGTTGCAATCAATTTGTTCTGCAGGTGTTCTTCTCAGAGTTATGGTTTGTTCGTGTTTATCGCAAGTCTGTGATGCCAAAAGCTTACAAGATATTACAATGCCTCTGATTGGAGAGTCCATCTAATCTGTTGTGTTTTCCTCTGTAATCTATGTACAAATCTCTGCTAGATACATCATTTGTGGAGACATAGGAAAGGGCTGTGTTACTCAATTCCAACACATCAGAGTTTCTCCTAGAAACAAACAACAACAAAAAAGCAAAGATTGTGTAAATATTTTTGGATGTTGCACTATGTTGCATTATGTTTTTAAAAATACAGAGAAAATAAAAAGTGCACTTTCTGAAGTGCACTTTTTTTATCAACAAAACTCCATTCATTATCCATGTGCAGCCTTATGTGAATAGTAAAAAGAAAGTAATCAATGCAGTAGCAAAAACATGCAAAGTTTTCACTGTTTCAATGTGTCATTTTTCTTTATAGCAGAATGATACAAATACAAAAGATAACACTTGATGTCCATGAATATAAAATATCTGATCCATACCATCCACAAGTGATGGCAAATAATTTTGCACATTTTCTTTCACTAATCAACCAAAGACAGCAGGGTGGATTATCATCAGGTAGTTCTAGTTTGTGGTTGACCTTTGTGGAAAAAATGTACAGAAACTGTTTAAAAGAACAAAGAGGCTTCGTTCCCACAGCAGGTCTCGATGCTTTGGTTTGTCACAATAATAAATTCTGCTGAGTGATTACTTGTCTCAAAAATTACTTGTCTCAAAAATGCCAAGTAATCGATAATATTGTTTGAAGACCTTTTTTACACCTATTTAATGGAAATGACATAATAATGCATGCCATTTCCTGCCACACATAGATGCCCTTTATTTTCAAAAGAACACTTAACACTGGAACTGATCAACTAAACAACCAAAAACAAAAATAAAATAAATTCTCCATTAACAAAAAATGTACTTGAATAAAAACCAAACAACATTAAGCCAAAGTGGAAATAAATACTACATCCAACTAAAAGAGTTGGATGCATAATCTTATAAATATTATTTGTAAGATTATGAAGTCTTATAAATAATATATATTTCCCTTCAGTAATCATTACATTTAAATAGAGAAGATGGGCACATCCGACTACTTGATGCAATAGTTCACACTACACGATTTTTTTTGCCCTGATATTCCTCTTACGACAACCTTAGAAGGTTGGGCTTTCAAAAATTGTCACTTGCAATCTTGTAACAGATCATCTTATGGTGTGTTGTGTGTTATGGTAGAATGTTGTGGCTGCGCCAATGTAAATCAGGATTTTCCCCGATTTCTGAGGCAGATCAGCACCGCAAAATCCCAGTGGAGGTGGAATAATACAGATGAATTGAATTCAGTAATTATAAATAACCTGTATGTCATGTTTTACATCCAAACTGGGTTTTTTCAGTGGTTTAAATCCTTATATATTATCGTTATATTGACACATTAACTGAGGGCCTTACAAATTTACACCCTGAGGTTTAAGCTTAGAGCAAATAGTTTAGGATGAGATGTATTCACTCAAATCACAGTCATTATGAGATACCACTGATTTAGGTATAGCAAGACAGTCAATACTATTCTCATGAATTTATACAAAGTTCAATAAACAGGACCTCATTAAAAAGGTGCTGTTTACCTGCTGCTTTGACACATTCATCAGGTGGAGTTTTTGCTGCCTGACAGTGATCAATTTTGAAGGGAAAGTAACAACATTTTCTGAAAGTTTTATCTGCCTATTGAAAGCAGAAGCAGGAACTGTCAGCTCAAAGTCATAAAAAGAGTTGTCTGTGAGCATCTCCAGAGTTGTTGTCACCTGAAATGGCATATTTGTTGAATTTCTAAGAATAAAGCTAAGTGGAGTGACTGCTCAGTTCACAAAGGAGTGTGCCAGAAATAATCAAGCTCAGCTAGAACAGAGTTTTGCTGACACGGATGATGTTTCAAATTCTTGTTCATGGCCAGTTTTTCTAACAAGGATGCATTTGATGCAAACACGCTCTGAAGCTATATACCTTGCATCGGTCTGGGATGGTAGGGGAAAGATTTGTGCTCATCAATGAACAGAGAACTGATGAGTAAGCATGAAAATTGGTTTTCTGGGTTAGTTGGAGAGGCTGTGCACCAACAGGGCTTGGAGCTGAACCTGAGAAAGGCATGACCTTACCAGGAACTCTTTGGGTTTTGTTCACTGGCCAATTGATTGATGGTAGATAGGCATACACCACTTGAGTCAGGAGACTTTATTGCCTCAAACTAAGCACAGAGGTGACCATAAGACAATTAGCGAGCTAGACCAACCCATCCAGATGGTATTGGCCAATGAGGAGCGGTTCTATGTCTGAGGCATCCTTGGTAAAATTAACACCCCATAAGTGTGCAGGGCCTTTGGAAGGTACACTCTTCTTTAGGCTTTGTCCAAGGATTTAAATGTGTGTTTTCTGAGTCTTTTGGTGAGCTGGTCGGTGCCAGGTGTAAGGAAGCACTTCTGAGGTAAAAGGGATTGAGCCAAGACTCTACCTGAGATGTGGGAGTCTCCTCTGCTGTATCCCCTTGAAGTTAAGGTGGAGTTTGTAGAGAAAACCTCTGAATCTCTTTCCCAATCACGTTATCAATAGAAAACAATCTTTCATGAAATATAAACCACTCCAGGTTGCTTCTTTTAGTTATTCTGAAAATAAACCGCAAACTCTATCAAAGGCAGTCAAAAATTTCTACCATCTTAGAAATACTCTCCAAAAAAGTTGCATGCAAGTACATATTTTATTTTGCACTATTTTGGGAGCTACACATACAGTAGCTACTGGACTTTTTTGACAGAACCAGACAATTATGTAAAGCCGCTTTCAGAGAAGTTTGTTCAGTTGATTTATGCCGCCTGCTTCTGTCTAACCAGTCTTTTGCCAGGACTGGGGCCACACTGGGGTTCATCATAAGTTAATTAGAAAAGAAATCTGAAAAACAAATATTCAGTGAGGAGAAAAAAAAAGTTCTTTGTTTTAATTGGATGTCAACAAAAGCTTTCCAAATGACCATAAGCTACTTATCACATTCTAAGAATGTGATAAGGTCAAGGCATTATGAATATTAAGAATTTTACCTGCAGTACCAATAGGCTCTGAGAGAATTCCTGTTGAAGGATAAGTTGATTAAACTAAAAGCAGCCTTTAAAACAGCTCAGAACTTTTAGTTATTGATTGATTGATTGATTGATTGATTGATTGATTGATTGATTGATTTTGATTGCAAAATGTATCACTTTTGCAAAAATACTGGTTTAGAAGGATGCCTGTGCTTATTTTCTGTATAGATTGTATGTTGGATGTTGGTCATGCTAAATTTTAAAAAATGGATTCAAACCCTTTTGCCTTGGATTCAAAGTATCTTTATTTGCTTAAAGGCAAGAAGAGTGCTGAATTATGCATTCACCCCCTTTTGAAAGCAATGTTTTCTTTGAAAAAGCAATAAAAGGGTACAACATCTGAGGGGTGAATACTTTTCAAAGGCACAGTATCCTTTGCTCAGAATCAGTCGCTGAGGGGATGAATGAGGTTTTTTTTTCAGCATTTTGTTTTTGTTAGTGGATCAGTTAATCATCTACAAGATGAAGTTTCGAGGGTGTGATCTTTTGTTACGTCTTAAGGCTTTTGTCATTTATGTGCTGTAAAATTAGCTTTTCTCTGGCCTGGGGACCTATTCAGGGTTCTTTTTCTAATTAATGTCTCACTCACATTTTCTTTCATTATCTCGGAGGTGTTGAATGAGTTTGTGGCTTTGCTCAAGAGTGCAGACTCAAGTTCAGCACTAATTGCCTTCCCATATTTATGTACCTGATTTGCTTTTTGCACCAACACTGTCATGTTAGGTGAAATAAGACAATTATTCCTAATTAGACAATTTCAAGTATTTCCTGTGAACCGTGGTTGACTTTAGTAAGGCTTTAAGCTGCAGCTTTTATGCAGCTTAATTTAATACCTCAGATTTAGTAAATTATTATTAGGGTACAGTTATGCACCACAATGTTGTTTGTTGTTAATTTAGTATATAAACAGAGCAATATTGTTTTATATATTTATTCCTATGACATTTTAAAATATATGTGATCATTTTAAGCTGAAACACAGAGGGTTTACAAAACTTTTACTTTTGCATATATATAAATAAGAAATATAGAACATGTTTCACCAGATGTCAAAAGTCTGATGGCAATAACAGAACAAATGTTCACACACCGGACTTTTCAACACCGGAGGGGATCTGTTGCTTCACACATCTTTGGAAGACTTTTTGAAGACATTGTTAGCAAGTCCTATGATAGAAGCAATGCTTAGTGAACCTGAAGAAAAAATCAAATGTTCTCTTTTCAACACAGCTTGCTCATTCCTTTCCATTTCTGTGACGCTTACATTGTCATGCAATGCGACAACCATTGACATATCCTACTTTCTTGTGGCATCTTTTAGCGTCTGTTCCTATCATACAAGGAAGCCAATAAGGCCAATAAACACCCAGCAGATACAAAGCTCCCGTCTCCTCTTTTCTGCCCATCCGCTTCATCAATATGCCGACATGTTGCCATCTTATCAACACTATCTTCGTCCTCTCTTACAGTTAGGGCCAGAAATATTTGGACAGTAACACAATTTTTGTGAGTTGGGCTCTGCATGCCACCGCATTGGATTTGAAATGAAACCGCTACAACAGAATTCAAGTGCAGATTGTAACGTTTAATTTAAAGGGTTGAACAAAAATATCTGATAGAAAATGTAGGAATTGTACACATTTGTTTACAAACACTCC